CAGGAAATCCAAACAAAGATACAAAAAGAAGAAAAGTGGAGTCAGGGGAGATGCTAGCCCACCACCCAAGGAACAAGATGCTAGCAGACCAGTAATGCCATGACCAAGTGGCAAAATATAGATTAATAGAAATGGGTTAAGATGAGAGCATTAGCTAGCAAGAAGCCTGAGCCATAGACCAAACAGTTTATAATTAATATTAAGCCTCAGACTGGTTATTTGGGAACCAGCAGGCGGGAAAGATTTATCTGACTACATCTACCTGTACCATCACAACTCACTTCTATAGGAAAACCTTGCAGGGAATATGTAAAAAAAAGCACCAGCCCTCAGAGTTATCAATGTTAGGAGTTGCCATGCATGCAAAATCAGAAGAATTAGCAATGTTGGTGTCTTTATTTGCTCTCTTTTGCTGTAACAAAAACCTGACCAAAGCAACTTGGGGAGGAAAAGATTTATTTCATCTTACAGTTTACAGTCCATCGTGAAGGGAAGTCAGAGCAGGAACCCAAAGGCAGGAACTGAAGCAGAGGCCATGGAAGAAGGCTGCTTACTGGCTTGCTCCTCATAGCTTGCTGAGCCTGCTTTCTTATGCAGTCCAGGCACATGTGCCCAGAGATGGCATAATCCACAGTGGACTGGGCCTTTATCAATCATCAACCAAGAAAATGCCCCACAGACTTGCCGACAGGACAACTGAATGGAAGCAATTCCTCAACGGAGGTTCCTTCTTCCCAAATAACTACAGCTTGTATCAAATTGACGAACTACCACAGTGGGCTATTAGAAATATTCAATGTCTTTGAGGGACTGAAGTTCCTAAAGAGGTTGCTTATTTGCCACTGGGTAGCACACAAACTACATACAAGAGATACGTTAAGAAATATCTGCTTTTAGATCTTGACAGAGTAAGATCCTATTGCTGAAGAAGACACTAGTCTTTAGTCATGGAACAAGGAGAAATCATGCTAGTCCTGACCTAAAAGCTTTATCCCTACTGGCTAGCTTTCATAGTGCTGGAGAGGAGGAGAAAAGTAACCTTCAATCTTACCCAGTAGTGAACTCTGAAAGCTGTAATGACTGTCTTGGGAAGACATCTCCACTGGTGCAATAATAACATGAATGATGTGGGAGGAATCAACTACTTTCTGGTTAAGACCCACTCTATAAGATGAAACCCATACATGGCACCATTATCAGAGCTAAAAACCTGTGGGTAAACAGGTCAAAGACCCTATGAAAGAACCTACTATTATTCTGCTGAATGGTCATAGCGTTAAACTGACTCCTAATGACTTGTTATTATACCCATAGATTAGTTCATCTCTTAATTTTCATCAGAGAAGCTTCTTTTTTTTAGTATATAGAAATTAACACAGAGAACCACAACTGCCCAGAAGCAGAGAGCAAGAAACTGCAGAATGCTCAGACCTGGATGGGATGTCAATATCCTACCCCTTCTCCCAAGGCTCAGGGACCACTGAGGAAGAGGGCACAGACAGGAAGGCTGTAAGAGCCAGAGGCAGTGGTGGAGGACAAGGAGACTGTTCTTCTGGCACAGCAGGGAGGCTGCACATATGGACTCTGGTGGTTGTTGCAATCAACCATGCTTGGTGGAAGGCCACACATCCAAGAATATGGAGGATTGAAGTTGATGGATTTAATTTTTTTAATTTTAAAGGAAAAAAAAGTTAGGTAGATAGAGAAGAAGGTGGATCTGGGAAGAACTGATGGAGGAGATGAATATAATCAAAATACAATGTATTAAGTTCTCAAAGAATAAAAAATTAAAAATTAAATATAATAGTTCAACAAGAATAAAAAACAATGCCCTTCACTGCTAATCATCAAAGTGCTTTTCTGCTACATTTAAGCCTTTGTTCTACATTCCAATAACTGTTTGACAAAGGTGGGGAACAAACCATGAACAGCTCAGTAAGATCCCTATAATGCACATCACAAGAGACCAGCAACTAATTCAAAGGACAAAGGACAAAAACCTGATAGGCACAGCATTCATATAGTCTGCAAAACGGGTAAGCAAACATGTGGGTAGACAGAGAGATGGATGCATAAGTGGGTGGATTGGGTGGTTGAATTGGTGGGTGGGTGAATGGATAGACAAATGGATGGGTGAGTGGATGGACAGATGTATGGATACTGTAAAGAAAAAATATTCCCAAAGTGTATGGCTTTTAAACTCAGACTTATGAGTAAGTAGAATTTGGACTGATGAAAACAAAAAGCTTAGGGAAAAGGGAGGGGCGGTCACTGTCTTAAGTTGCAGACTCACCACTGTGCCCACTAGGATAGTTCCAAACCTGCAATCACTTAGATGACTCTGGTTAAGGGCAAGTGAGTTATAAGACAAAACAAAAATGCATTAATGTGAGAAAGAGATTTGTAGGAAAGACAAGGAGGTTAATGGGGGTAGGAGGAAGATAATAGAGGGTAGAGGGTGAGAGTAATTAGAATGCATTATATATACATGTATAAAATTGTCAAAGAACAAATTTAATTTAAAAAAAAAGTTCGACTCTTAAAGGTTTGTGTAAAAATGGTGTCTTTTGAGGGCACAGGATTCAGGCACTGAGTTTCTTATATTGGATCAGGAGGACATGTCAGGGTCAGGATTTTAATATATTTTTATTAATTCTTTGAGAATTTCATACGATGTATTTTAACCACGCTTACTACTCCTCCCAATAACTCCTCCCAGATCTACCTTACCATCTCCCTATCCTCTCTCAACTTGTGCCCCCAGTTTTTTTTAATCATAAAATAACAAGTCCAATTTGTGCTGCTGATATACTCATGGGTAAGGAGCCATCCACCACATCGGCTGGAACATGGTAGACCTAACAAAGTCCACACCCTTACAGAAAACTGACTCTCCTTCTCCCCCAGAAATCACAACCATCCATGGCTCCTCAGCTAAGGGTGGGGGCTTATGAGGCTCTCTCTGCTCCATGCTGGAATGTTAACTGGCTTGCTCTTGTGCAGGTTGCCACTACTTGAACAGAGGTCCTGTCATGCCCAAAAGACACTGTTTAGCTCAGGTCCTCCCAAACCCTGGCTCTTTCTACCCTTCTTCCTGGGTGATCCCTGAGCCTTGGTGGGAGTGGGGTAGGGGTGTGATATAGGTATCCCATTTAGGACTAAATAGTCCACAGTCACACAGATGCATTCTTAATTCTTTAATATATGAATTCATCACACTACTCACTAAGTCCATGAGTCAAACCCTGAGGTGGGAGCTCTACACTCCATCGTGTCTAAAGCCCAACAGCACCACTGGGGAACATTTGTTCTCTACATCTCTCTTCAAGTCAATGATACTCTGAGGCTGAGTTTACTTTCACAGTGCTGAGGGCAACAGAGTGCCAGACTGTCCCCAATGTCCTCAGGTCAGCCTCCATGGCAACTGTACAGACAAAATGAAATATGCTTTAAGAATCCTGACGCAGGCAAACTGCAAATTTCTCAGCACAAGGAAGATGAGGGTTTTTTTTCCACTGGCATTTGTCTTTTGGGAAAAAGTAACAGAAGAGTCCATAATCACAGAGTTTTACAACCAAGGAAGAGGAATACCAGGACCCTGTGAACATCAAGTTCCCTGCAGAAGGAGTCAACTGGGATACTCCTCATGACACGTGTCCTGTTTACTGAAGTTCAAGGTGGAGCTTTCTTATAATTTCAGCTTCACTATCTGCATTTTATAAAAATTAAAACCATTTTACTCTCTAACAAGTTCTGGTAGTTCATGAACTTTTAAAGGTTGTTACATTTACTAGTAAAATCTCTGCATTAAAGTTGTGTCTCCCCATGCACTAGTAGATGGTCCTACACTCACGCACATATCGGCAGCACTAATTGGACTCAAGGATGTTAGGAGGTGGAGGAAGAAAACATAAAGTTTACAGGGTGTGTGAGGGAAGGGATCTGGTAGGAGTTGGAGGGGAAGGAGATGGATAAGATCAAAATACATCGTATACGTAATATGAAATACATTTTAAAAAGATATACCTCCAAAGCAGCATGATGATGCATGCCTATCACCTCAGTACTCCAGAGGTAGAGGAAACAGAAAATACAAAGTCATTTTTTATTATACAGAAAGTTGAAGACCAGCCTGGAGTAAATAAGCTCCTGTCTCAAATAAAAAGAAAACAAAAGAAAGAAAGAGTTCTTTTTTATATTTTGGATATTAGCCTTCTGTCAGATGTGGAGTTGGTGAAAATCTTTCCCATTCTGTAGGCTGCTATTTTGTCCTATTGACAGTGTCCTTTGCTTTTGAATTTCATGAGGTCCCGTTTATTAATTATTGATCTTAGTGCATGCAAGATTGGTGTTCTGTTCAGGAAGTTGTCTCCTGCACCACTGCATTCGAGGCTATTCCCTACTTTCTCTTCTATCAGGTTCAGTGTATCTGGTTTTAAGCTGAGGTCTTTGATCCACTTGGACTTGAGTTTTGTGCAGGGTGATAGATACGGGTCTGCATGCATTCTTCTACATGCCAACATCCAGTTAAACCAGCACCATTTGTTGAAGATGCTTTCTTTTTTTTTTCATGGCTTTTTTGGTCAAAAGTCTGTTTTTTTCTGGCTTTCTTATCAAAAATCAGGTGTCCATAGGTGTGTGGATTTACATTTGGGTCTTCAATTCGATTCCATTGATCAACATGTCTATTTTTAAGCCAATACCATGTGGTTTTTATAATTACAGCTCTGTAATATGGCTTGAAATCAGGGATGGTGATACCTCTGCAGAGAAGAATAAAAAAAATCTTAGCAATGGAAACAATGCTTATTAGTATTTTAACCATAGCTGTGTTGAAGTATTGTCTCTAATAAAAGAACATAAAAGAACATCTTTTGCAACCAAAAAGTAAGTAAGTAAGTAAAAGAAGGAAGGGAGGGAGGGAGGGAGAGAGAGAGGGAGGGAGGGAGAGAAGGAAAGAGATGCGAGGGGAGGAGGAAATAACCATGGCTCTGCCTAAGTGAAGTTATTAAACACTAGCTTTATTGCCTTCCCCTCTTGACGTTCTGACCCCTAAGAACAAAGTAAGTGTTACTGTAATTATCACACATTGTCACTCCAAACCACCATACTTCAGGCATTACAAGTAGATTTTTCAAGAGCTAAATCTACTGATGCTAATTCTGTGGCCTCAGTTTCATCTCCTTCATGGAAAATTAATAATTTCATCAATTATTGGACTATTGTTATAATTCTATTTTATATGAAGTGAGATTCAGAACACCTGATTTGTCTGATTCACACATTTGCAGTCTGAACAAACTGCCTGGAGGGTGGGCAAAACAGCTCACCTCTCCAGACACAGCTAAGCCCGAGGCCATGGAAAAAAAGCAAAGACTGAGAAGGATGTTGATGTAGGAAAAAATTTAGAAAAGGAATTATTAGAAAGATAAGGGGAACTGTGATACCTAAAAATAAACCTTTCAAAGGCCTTGAAGGGCCTTCTGGTCCAACATTTCCTGGAGAATGTTTGCAAGTCATGAGTCACAGGATGTGAAAGGGTGCTGCACACGAGGAAGAAAATGTCCCAATACCCAAACAACTTCGAAAATTTTTCATTCTGATCACAGGACCATGGGTTTGTTGGTTGGTTGGTTGGTTTTGTTTGTAATCCAAGGTTTTTAAAGACACTGATTCTCCAGGACAGAAAGAAAAATATTCAATGTTTTTCAAAGGTACTGACCATGAACTTTTCCACAGAGCATCTACACACTTAAAAAAATATAGCTTCCTATGCCTTGGGATGCAGCTCAGTTGGTAGATGTCTGTCTTAGCATAAATGAAGCCCTCGGCTGGAGGCTTTGCACCATAGAAACTGGGGGTGATCATGAACATCTATCTATGTAATCCATCATTTAGGAGGTACAGGCATGAAGGTTACAAGTTCAAGATGGTCCTAGGTCCTACATTCATGTACACACATGACTCATGTCAAACATGGCAAGTTTGAAATCAGCCTGGGCTATATAAAACTCTGTCACAAAGATAAAATATTTTAAACCAGAATCAGGCCTAATAAACCTAAATTTGGAATCATTTATCAGATCACTCCCTTTTGATTGTCATGGAGGTAATGGGATCCAGATGTTATTGGCAGTTTAAGACCAGGGATTCAGGTCTGTCTTTCCATACCTGTTTCCTTAAGCATCCTCCTTGCCAGGTCTGTGTAGTTCCTTCCATTCATAAGTGACAAGGTACATTGTATTAGGCCAATATGAGCATTGTAAAAATGTGTGCAAAGTGTGAGCGCTGGTGAAAGGGCTGGAAAGCCTGTGAGAATCACTCACATACTGGTGGCAAAATGGCCACCTACTGTGTATGTGCCATACTCTGCCAGGTACTAGGGTGAGCACTTGGGCTTTGGCTTCTCATTTAATCACATCAGATATCTATGTGGAGAAAATTAGAAGTCTTAAGATAGCCCAAGGTCGCTGGGCAGTGGTGACGCACACCTTTAATCCCAGCACTCGGGAGGCAGAGGCAGGTGGATCTACATTGCTAGTTCCAGGATAGCCAGAGCTATTACACCGAGAAACCCGGTCTTGAGAAACCAAATAAATTAATAATAATAATAATAATAATAATAATAATAATAATAATAATAAAGGACTGCCCAAGGTCAGCAAGGAAATAGGCAGGAAAGTGACAGTTGGGCAATTTAAATTCTATGGAGCATAAAAGCACCACAAATACAGAGCTGACCCTCATGCTCAGGACTCAGTAAAGATTAGAGAGCAAATGATGAGTGACATCAGATTTGAACTTTAGGGAGAAGCATCAGAAACATGGCAGAGTGTTGCACAGGTGAAGCTGAGCTCCTAGAATTTATGATGTGATACCTTGCCTCTTCTGGGTCTGGTGTTGCTCCATGGCCAGGCTCCTCTTCTTATACTATGCCAGGGGTCCCATCAAGACTTCTAGTTCCCCTTTTAAATGAAGTCAAATTCAAGAAAGTAGAGGTAGCAAAATATTTCCCAGAACAAGAGACACCAAGTGCCTCTTGCCATAAATTTTTATCATAAAAAGGCTAATATTTTATTTTAGAGCAAAATTAATCAAGATTACTAGATTGGTATTCCTTCTCCTTTTTTTTCTCTCTAGTCAGAAATGAAGGGTAGAGTTTTTTGAACTACTAAGCAAAACTGCTGAGATCTAACTGGTGTGTCATCAAGGCAACTTTCATGACATAAAAGGTGTATGTGGTGCTGGGCCCTGCCTCTGCAAACTATTTATTGCAAAGATGACACCAAGAACATTTTTAAAGGATAGAATTTGAAGTATGTCAGACCCTAATATAAAATTTATGGTTAATTACAAGTCAATGTTTCATCCTATATGAGATGACTTAGGCCCTCAGAATACAAAGTTTAAAGTTGTGTTTCCCTCATCCAAGTACATGGACATTTATGTCCCTTGGTGCCTGCTTCATGTATCCAGTGCTGATAGACCATAGATACTCAGTGAATGATAATTAAACCAGCAAGCTTTGGTTCCCCCAAGTGTGATGAGCTTCCAGGATCCAGTTGGCTTCTCATCCTCCTATCAGGTATGCCCTAAAGGTTAGTATGTTCCTCTGCTGAGCATGGCAGAATGCGGTACCACAGGCCGAATGGATTGAATAACAGAAACTTATTCATCATATCCTGGTTTCTGAAGGCCAAGATTAAGATGCAGTAGATTCCTCCTCAGGCTGCTCTCTCCTTAGCTGCTGTGATGGCTGATGTTGACTGGAAGAGATGAAGAGAATGGTGAGATGCATGTCTACTGAGTCACATGGGACAATGACTGAAGAAGAAAGGCATACCCTGAATGTGAGCAGCACAATCCAATGGGCTGGGAAGGTAAAATCCAGAGCACTATACAAGTTCCTTTGTTTCCTGATCAAATGTATCTATTCCTGCTGCCATTGTCTGCTGATGTCAGACTCCAGCTTCTTCAGCCTTTCCACACAAGCTTATTCCCAACACCTCTCCTGGAAGTTTCCAGCCTTTCAGCATGGTATCAAGCCTTTTGAGGACCCAGCTTCATGGACTATGCATTACTGGGTTCTTTGCCTTTCCAGAGTACAGACAGCAATTGTTAGACTACCGCTCCCTACCATGTAAGCCAGTCCTACAAATCCTGGCACATCTCAAATTCTGTCATCTCACTGTGCTCTCTCCTGTGGTCTTGCTTCTGTGTGTATCTGTGTCACAATGCCTTTTTCTTATAAAGACACCAGTTGTAGCTAGAGTTTTCCTGCCTGGCCCACAGTCAGGACAAATCTCTGTCACCCGCCAGTCCCACAGCCGCTCAGACCCAGCCAAGTAAATACAGAGACTTATATTGCTTACAAACTGTATGGCTGTGGCAGGCTTCTTGCTAACTGTTTTTACAGCTTAAATTAATCCATTTCCACAAATCTATACCTTGCCACGAGGCTCGTGGCTTACTGGCATTTTCACATCTTCCTTGTCCTGGCGGCTGCTGCAGGCAGTGACTCCTTCTGCCTTTCTGTTCTTTTATTTCTCTTCTCTGTTAGTCCCGCCTATACTTCCTGCCTAGCCATGGGCCAATCAGTATTTTATTTATTGACCAATCAGAGCAACTTGACATACAGACCATCCCACAGCCAAGTGCAGACCATTTCAGACACCTGTACTCAGGCCTGTGGTCCTAATCATCCTCTATGCAGACCTGCTGGGTAACGTCACAAAGAACCCAAGAACGGGCTCCCACAGAACATACAGAACATCCCACAGCAACCAGTCAAATTGGATTAAAATCCACCCTAGTGACTTTGGTTTTAGTTAATCACCTCTGAGTTAAGACATAGCTGTGTTTATGCTGGGAGGCCTTGTGTGGAGCCTTTCTCTTGCAGGAATCAAATCTGAGGAAGTAAATCCTTGAAGGATTGACAGAGTTGATTATGATGAGATACTACTTTGTCATCATAACCAAGGATTCTGTTTAGGTTGTCATACATGGACCAGGCCATGATGATTATCCAGGAAACTGTGAGTTTACTTTTTGGCTTCTATTTTTATGGCTACCCAGCATGGGAATCATCTTCTGTGAAGTGACATAGGCTGCCTATGTTGAGAGTTACCCATGGGTGGTATCTCTTAATACACATATCATCCTCCCCAGAACAATGGTGTGAGAGGGGTTCAATCTTCTCTATCTTTGAGAACTCTCACTTCCACACATAGATATTCCATCAAGGAAGTAGAGTGCTTTGAGTCTTTCAAAGGGATCAAGTTCTACTTTTCATAGTCTCACAAAAGCCCTGTGAGGAAGAAAGCACTGTTCTTATCACCACTTAACAAGCAGAATATAAGAATAAGCAAAGCTGAGGTTCAGGGACCTGAACTAAAATGACCTATCAAATTGAGGGCACATAGACTCCCAGGTGATCAGTGCCAGCTTTGTGTGTTATGGTAATGGCAGTGTGTTTGCATGGGGACAATTCTTAATTCTGAATGGATTTGTCCTGAAGCTCTAGGGGGATGATGTGTCCCAGTGTCCATAACATCTTTCCTTTACTTCCAGATGCTTCAGCAAAATAAAATGTTAATGACTAATAAAAGTAATTGGTAGTTACCTATTGGTATCCATTGTCTCATTTCTCTTTTTTATTCTTGAACATTTTCATAATAGAAGAATGAAGTCATCCACCACTACTGTTTGGCACACATCCTGATTCCTAGAATATTAATTATAGAAGCAGACAGAGATCCAGTGTAACTAACTGTGCTTGTTGGAGTGGCAAGCAGGGAAATGCAATCCTCTCTGTTTCTGGTATTCTTAATTCATCACACAGGAATTAAAAACAGTTCTATCCGAGTCCTGTTAGACAGTGTCTCCTTGCCTCATTAGTCTCTAAGCAGTGTCAGCCAAATCCTTGAGGAAGTGCCAACTTGAAGCCAGACAAAAGCATGCCCTTGAGAATGACATTTTAGAAAGACCTCAGAAGGTGTGCCAAGGCAAACAGTGCCATCCAGGAAAGTAACTGCTATCAGCCCTGCCCTCTGCCTCAGCCTGTGTCTTGCCTTCTTGTTTTATTTGTTTTTGAGAATTTCATACATGAACATAATATTTATGTTATTTCCTCCCTCTCCCCACTCCAGCTCCTCCCATAGCCCCCCTCCTTCCTCTCAGATTCATAACCCTTTCTTCTATAATTATTGTCTTACATATATACAACTTGAGGGGAGTTTTCTCTTGTCTGACACTGAGGTTTTTGTTAGATGGTCTATGGGTCTTAGGGAGAGCATAATAACCCCACATGATGTAACTTCATTTAAACTATATTTTTATTTTTAACTTCAGATTCACTCTTCAAATACTGATCCCCATGGCAGTCTTACTGGACACTGCTGCCAAGCTTCTTCTCCTGACTGGGCATGTCTTGGGCATTTAAAACCTAAGCCTGGTCCCTTGATTTTGTTCTCTACTTCCTCCCAGCTTGCATCAATTCAACTTTGTTAACTGGACCATACAAAGATCTGACAAGAAAATTCCATACATACATGCTAAAGGTAATTAATTTTGCGGATAGTTAAAAGTTAACATTCCAAAATCCATCTAAAGATTCAATCCAATCTCCATCAAAATTCCATTCTTCACAGAAATTAATTAAATTTCATATAAAAACAAAAAACACAGGACAGCAAAAATGGCCCTGAACAACAACAAAAAACTGCTAGATATATTACCATCCCAGATTTCAAGTTATACAACAGAGCTATAGTAATAAAAACAGCATGGTACTGGTATAAAAACAGATATATATTAATGAAATAGAATTAAGGACCCACATATAAGCCCATACTCATACATCCACCTGATTAGACAAAGGGCCCAACAATACACACTGGAGAAATGACAGCATCTTAAAAACAAAAGTGCCAGTCAAGCTGGTTAACTACAGGAAGAAAATGAAACTGATCCTCATCCCTCACCCTGTATACAACTCAATTCCAAATAGATCAAGGACCTCAACATAAGACTTAATTCCTGCATCTGACAGGAAAAAGCAGAGAATATGTTTGAACTCACTAACACAGTAAAAGACTTTCTGAACAGAGCCTTAGTAGGGTAGGCATTAAAACCAACAGTTGATCTTAGCTGGGGTCATCCTTGTGGATTCCTGGGAATTTCCCTAGCATCAGGTTTCCCCCTAGCCCTATAATGGCTCCCTCTATGGAGATATCTCTTCCATTGTTCTCCCACTCCATCCCTCCCCCAACTCAACCATCCCATTCCCCTTACTGCCCCCCCCCCCCCCCCTGTTTACCCAGAAGATCTCATCTCTTTCCCCTTCCCAGGGTGATCCATGCATTCCTCTTAGGGTCCTCCTTGTTACCTAGCAATAGTGGAGAGGGTACCTGAACTGGCCTTCCTCTGTAACCAGATTGATGAATACCTTAACTATCACCATAGAACCTTCATCTAGTAACTGATAGAAGCAGATGCAGAGATCCACATCCAAGCAACAGGCTGAGCTAGGAAGTCCAGTCGAAGAGAAGGAAGAGGGGTTATAGGAGCATGGGGAGCAGGTCAAGATCATGATTGGGAAACCCACAGAGACAGATGACCTGAACTTGTGGAAGCACACAGACACTAGACCATAGCTGGGAAGCCTGCATATGAGTGACAGTTTGTAGCCTAGTCAGTTTGTGGGGCCCTGGGCAGTAGGACCAGGTGCATAAGCCTTGTTAACTCCCCATAGTGTCAACCTTTCTGAGGAATGAATAGGGATGGGGGGCAGAGAGCAGGAAGGGGAAGGAGAGGGAACTGTGGCTGGTATGTAAATGAATATAAATAAATAAATAAATAAATAAATAAATAAATAAATAAATAAATAAATAAAACAAGCCAACAGTTGCAAGTGAGACCTCGTGGAACTGAAAAGTCTCTGTACAGAAAAGGGCATTATTGTCTGAATGAAGAAGCAGCCCATAGAACGGTGGTAAAGATCTATTCATCTGATGGAAGTCAGTTTCCGTACTAGCCAAAGAATGCAAAAGTTACCTGATAGAAACAACAACACAAAACAAACAACAACAAAATGATACCAAAAGAAAAGATGGAAGGAAGGAAAAAAGAAAGAAAGAGAGAAGGGTAGGGAGGGAGAGAAAAAGGAAAGAAAGAAAAAAGAAAGAGAAAAGAAAAGAAAGCAACAGATGCTGGTATAGGTGTAGAGAATAGGGAATACTTACGCACCTCTGGTAGGAGTTCAAACTGGTGTAGCCATTACAGAACTTAGTATGAATGTCCCTCAAAAAACTGGAAATAATCTACCACATGACCCAGCTGTTCCATTTGTGTGTGTAACTAAAGGACTCTGTAGTCTACTGTAGAGATACTAGTCCACACTCACTGCTGTTGTAGTCATAATAGTCAGGAAGTGGAAACAGCCTAGATGCCCATCAACTAATGAATGGACAATAAAATGGGGTATATTTATACAATGGAATATTATTCAGTCATTGGGAAAAACCAAATTATGAAATTCACAGGTAAATGGATGGACCTGGAAATCATCTTTCTGAGTTGAGTAACAGACCCAGAAAGACACATGCCCCATGTTTTCTCTCATTTGTGAGTATTAGCTTTGAAACTAAAGATATGTGTATTTCTTCTGGAATGCCTATAGAGGTCAGGAAATTAGAAAGGGCTCTCAAAGGAGGGGAGACAGACTGCCATGATGTGCATGGTAAAGGGGAATAGCAGAACAGGAAAAGCTAAATTAGGATAAGGGGTGGAGAGCAGGGTAGAGGAGGGAATACAACGAGGGATAAACAACACCTAAAGATCTTTCCAAAAGTTATATAAAAATCTACTACTATAGAAGCTTCATAAAATATATACCCAGACAGATATAAAAAGTTAAATGGAGTTATCCTATAACAGGATGATGATTCCCTTACAAGACATCACAGACAAATGAGAAGCCTTGTGCTAGGAGACAACTTCATGAATATAACACCAGTAGCACAGACACTGAGGTTGACAATTAATAAATGGGACCTCATGAAACTGAGAAGCTTCTGTAAGGCAAAGGACATGGTCAATAAGACAAAACGGTAGCCTACAGAATGGGAAAAAATCTTCACCTACCCCACATCTGACAGAGGGCTGATCTCCAAAATATATAAAGAACTCAAGAAATTAGACATCAAAATACCAAATAATCCAATTAAAAACTGAGGTACAGATTTTTAAACAGAGAATTCACAACAGAAGAATCTCAAATAGCCAAGATACACTTAAAGGATTGTCCAACATCCTTAGCTATCAGAGAAATACAAGTCAAAACGACTCTGAAACACCACCTTACACCTGTCAGAATGGCTAAGATGGAAAATGCTAATTTGACAACATACATTGGAGAGAATGTGGAGTAAAAGGAACACTCCTCTACTGCTGGTGGAAGGGCGAACTTGTACAGCCACTTTGGAAATCAGTATGGCTGTTTCCCAGAAAGTTGGGAATCAATCTACCTCAAGACCCAGCTATACCAACCTTGGCCATACACCCAAAGGATGCTCAATTATACCATAAGGACACTTGCTCAACTATGTTCATAACAGCATTATTTGTAATAGCCAGAACCTGGAAACAACCTAGATGTCCCTCAACTGAAGAATGGATAAAGAAAATGTGGTAATTTACACAATGAAGTATTACTTGGTGGGAAAAAAAAGACATCATGAAATTTGCAGGTAAATAGATGGAACTAGAAAAAAAATTGTCCTGAGTGAGTTAACCGAGACCCAGAAAGACAAATATGGTATGACTCACTCATAAGTGGATATTAGAAGTAAGACAAAGGATAACCAGGCTACAATCCACAGCACCAGAGAAGATACATATCAAGGAGGGCCTTAAGAGGGATGCATGGATTACCCTGGGGAGGGGAAATAGATGAAATCTCTTGGGTAAACTGGGGACAGGGAGTGGGGTGAAGTGGAGGAAATAGGGGGGATGGGAACATGAAGGATTGGGTTAGTGGAGTTGAGAGCGGGATGGAGGGGAGAGTAATGAAAGAGATATCTTGATAGAGGGAGACATTTTGAGATTGGGGAGAAACCTGACGTTAGGGAAACTCCCAAGAATCCACAGGATGACCCCAGCCAAGATTCCTAGCAATAGTGGAGAGGGTGCCTGAACTGGCCTTCTCCTGTAATCAGATTGGTGACTACCCTAATTGTCATCAGAGAGCCTTCATCCAGTAACTGATGGAAGCAGATGCAGAGATCTACAGCCAAGCACTGGGCCAAACTCTGGGAGTCCAGATGAACAGAGGGAGGAGGGATTGTAAGAGCAACGGGTGTCAAGATCATGACAGGGAAACCCACAGAGACCGGTGACCTGATCTAGTGGGAGCTCACAGACTCTGAACCAGCAGATAGGGAGCCTGCATGGGACCAATCTAGGCCCTCTGTATGTGGGTGGAAGTTGTGTAGCTTGGTCTGTTTGTGGGGCCCCTAGCAGGGGGATCAGGATCTGTCTCTGGTGCATGAGCTAGCTTTTTGGAACCTATTCCCCATGCTGGGATGCCTTGCCTAGACTTGATGCAGGGGGATGAGCTTGGTCCTGTCTCAACTTGATGTGCCTTGTTTTGTTGACTCCCATTGGAGGCCTGCCCCTTTCTGAATGGAGGAGGAATGGATGGGGTGGGGGGGGAGATATATGGTA